AGAAACTTTCAGCTACTAACTTTCAGCTTTCTTGATGTTGTGAAACTGAAGTAACAAACTGCAGCAAAGTGCAAGCTGAGTATAATTACTTTGAATTGTTATGCTAAAGTAAACAATTGCAAAGGTAATGGGAGCAGCTTTATCTTTCACTCCACTGAATAGAACGAAGAACAACTGTGAGCAGAGTGGATTATTATACATTCCCATCCACAAGTAACTTGCATTACTTTTGCTGGGGAAGACATTGGTATGTTTACTGTATTTTAAATACAGGTTGTACTTACACTTCCTTTTACATTATCAAGACTGCCTTCTGAGGAACCCAGAAGACAATGGATTTCTTTTCTCAAACAGAAGTTCTAAGGTATTAAAAAGTATATTCTGCTTTAATATGTTTGTCTTATTTAAATTGAATCAATACTAAGTTCCAAGCAGGTCTATAAACAACAGGAGTTCTGTTGAAGCTTCTCTTACAACAAACTTGAAGAAACATCATAGGTTATTCTCAGGAAAGGCTAAGTCATTATCAGCCTTAAAACAAAGCATGACACAGCTTGCCTTGATACTTTTCTGCTGTAGTACTTGGCAGATTAGTAAAATGCCACTATGCAACACTAAGTCACATCTTAGTATATTAATATAAAACAGCATACATGCCACATGTTAGGAGCTTCTTTTCGGTTCCATCAAGGAAGAACATACAAGCACTTGTCTCTGTGGTCTCAATAGGGCATCCAGTACATGTTATCTGGAAAAGAAAAGAAGAGTGGAAAGAGACAAATAGAAGAAAAGCTTCTCTAGCATGAACGCGTTGCCTTAGGCTCCTTTTGGGAATTCTGATCTGACACATGTATCTCAAGTTCTTTGCTATCTTTCAGAGCCATAAAAGTTGGATGTGCCCAACTGCTCTGGTTCCCGAAGCTGCAATTTTAGGAATCAGTAAAGAAGCTTCACTTTAAGGCAGGTTAACCAACCTGTTCTGTACACTGCACACTACTATTCAAGATTAAAATTTTGAACTTACTTTTGCTTCTCCTCTGCAGAAGTGCCTTTTGCCTTCCATCACCAGCCAACAACTTAAAAAATTGATTACACACCAACCTTCAAGAGAAGGAGACATTCCAAGATACAACAGATTTTGATTAGGAAAAAGAAGTCATTTCAATGTATCTCACAAATACACTGCATTTCACTAAATATCCTGGGAAAATCATTCCATGTGTCATCAACTTGCTAGCTCAAAAAGGAATAAATAAAGGAAACATCAACTTAACATGGTTACTGTGGGTCAATGAAATGACTGAATAGAAAAGTTTAACTGTGTCTTAGAGCTTGAATAGTGATCCAAAACTCAAAGGAACACAGCAAAGAACTTTCTGCATAGTGTCTGTAAAGTAATGTGAAATACCAGTCGACATACTTTCCCTTTCAGCACTGAAAAAATGGGGAAAAATTAGAGTCAAACTTATGCATAAAAATGTAATGTTCAAAGGAGATAATCATTCACGTAATCATAAAGCATACTTACCAATTTTTTTTTATTAGAGGCATATTAAGCATACATTAAAAAATACAGGATGCAACTAGACAAAATAAGCTCACAAACCTCAAAAAAAACCCAAGCACTAATGAAAACAAAGTGAACAATCAGGTAGAAAATTTCTAAGCAGTCTCTAACAAAACTCTACCGTGACAGCCTATGGCCAGGGTCTCCTGTGGAATATTAGTGTATTCTACGGCATAAAAAAATAACTGCTTTCCAGGAGCCAGCATATAAATAAAAATGCTTAATGCCTGCAGAAAAGCTTTGAGATCTTTTATTAAAGGTTTTGCAGAATACCAAGTGTTACTTAAGATCCTTTACTCCGACCTTCAGTTTCTAATGCCTTCTGGTAGAAAAGCATCATGGATTGTGATTTAACACACATTGCCCAGGGTTCTTCTCTCTCTCTGCCCCCATTTCCAGGAAAAGTGGACGTGTTTTTGTTACAAAAATGTTATGGTTTATAATACATCACTCAGTATGTGCTACGGTTCGATCTGGTGGGTTTTTGCTTGTTGGTTTTCTGTTTATTTTCCTTTCCTCCCCTGGGTTTACTGATCCATTCAGGTCAGCCGAAGTTTCTTTCCCAAACTGCACAAGGACAAATGGGACCTTGGGTGCATTTGAGGAAGCTCCAAGTGACTGAACGCTCACTGACCAAAGCTGTTAACAAATTTTCCATTAAATGCAAATAACAAAGATAGCATACATGTGGTATGTTATTTCTTGAGAAATAGATTTTATAGAACCAATGTGAAATAATTATTCAAGCAAAAAGGGTAAATCTCTTGATGATTCCAGTATGGATACCAAGAATTAACTTTAAGTTGCTGCTTTTTGGTAAGGCAATGAATACTTGAGGTAAAATGTCTTCTTAAGTACAAAAAGAGAGGTGGCACAGAATAAGAAATGCTGACAGCTAGATGGAAAGAAAACTTGAAAATTGCTCAGAAACAAAAAAAACAACCCACCCCAAATTATGTGCAGTCATGTTTAAGTAACTTAAAATGCATCCAACGTACCCTGATCTTCCAGAGTGACTTCAGCCAAAAGCACCAATTTAATTTAACTCTAGGAAGCCTCCCACACAACATGAGATGTTAGATCCTGCAGTCTCCCACAGTGCTTAGTCAGCAAATAAAACTTCTTACAAGAGAAACTGTTATATATTTTAGATTTTCTCCTTCACAAAAACACCATGCCACTGTTTTCATTTACTTAAAGCTATCTGATGGTCTTGCAAGAAGAATTTAGTTCTCTCACCTTTTCCTTTGGAAGGGCTTTTGCATGAGCATTTTCTACATGGTTTGAAACAAACAATGCTTTTACATATTAAGCATCTGAGAATATATATACGTCTGCCAAAGAAGCAGATTTTTCAATCTGAGTTTTATTTTCCAATTTTTCTCAACAGTACGTGGCCAAACTCTTCTAAATTCTTCTAATTAAGACCAGTTCCACAGCTGATTAAGTCCTTTAAACTGTCCTGATTGTGATGCTGTATTTTATCATCTTCCACATGTATATGCACAAAGACAGCTGACTGGTTAATCATATCTTAACGATTTCACTAAAATCTTGAAAGAACAAAATAATATTGCAACTTATTGCTCTCAGCTTTTTGTGTGTCTTGTTATCTGAAGTTCTCCAAGTGGCACACCTTGAAGAGCTGACACTATGCAAACTGTTCCACTTCTCTTTTAACAAGTCTTCTAAACATGCATGGATGAAAATTAAGATACAATTCAAAATTTAATTCGTAACTCCCTAGAGTTTGAAGCCATTTTTGAGATGTTGAGATTGATGTAATTTATTTAGAGGCTCCACCAATAGGCTGGATGGTCTCTACTACTGTTGCTGATTAGATTCATTTAGAAGCTGAGTGCAGTCAACCTAGGAGGACAGAACAGACTTCAGTTGCATGCTGATGGCCCAGAAAAATATCTCTACAATATCTAGAGAGGTCAGCACATCTTACCACATTACACAGCTACAAAAATATGTTTATGCATAGGCACTTGCTCATTTAATTCTAAAAAAAACCCCAACCCAATAAAAAACTCCAAATCAACAAAAACTAAACAAAAAAACCAACCGAAAAACCCCAGATAAGTCTCAAATTCACAATTTTAAAACAAAACGGGTTTTTTTGAAACTGTCACCATGTCTTTTTAAAAAAAAAATGTGGGAAGACTATGCCCAAAGTTTCAAGCTGAGCATAAAATTATGCACAGAGACAAAAATTTGTTGCAAATATTTACTCAAAAAGTAATAATTTACAGCAGTGCTTTAACAGCTGTTCCAAACATTTAACATTCATTAGAAACAAAACTGTAAGTCAAAAGCACATTCTGAATGTTTCCAATGGAGCAATGAAGTCGTAAGAGCAAGCTACCATTATCATTAATGCATTCCTACATCTAGCTGCTAACTAGAAGACAAAAAAAAAAAACCCCCAACAAACTAAAACAAAACCAGCAGCCATCTTTCTGTACACAATTTATACTACAAAAAGTCCTGAAATTGAACTGTACAATTCTACTTTATATGCCCTTGTGTCCTTTTTGTAACAGTTAGCCAGTAGCAGCTGCAAAGTGGCAGAACGCATGCCAGTCGGTGTTTCCAGTTTGGGGTTTTCCTCCTTTTTGCTTAAAACACATTTTACATTAAACTGTCCTTTGGTGTGGACTTACAGACCATTTCTATGGCTCTCCAGCTAAGAATAATCAAAACAATGGTAAAAGCCTAACAGCTATAGTACTTTCAGCAGTATGTTCTAATTCATACAATTATGTTCGGTATATCTGCACAGCCTGCACACTGGAAACCCCACAAATATATATTTTTATTGTAATAATTCCACTTTCACTGAAAGTTTATTAAGGTAAGCTTACAGCCTGGCAGGATTACACCCGTACAGAGGTGCATAGATTCACGTAATTCTGTTTACATGCTTTTACAGACAGGAATGTGATACCCAGTCCAAAGGGTCATGTTTACCCAAATTATCAGCAGACCGATAACCATCATTACAAGTATGGTCCACTTCAGCATCAGAAGTGAGTTTATACCAAATTCCACTGTTTAATGATATTCACACTGAAGGACTTAAAAAAATATTTTCTTGGCAAACAAATCACCTTCTCCCAGGCTAGTTAACTATAAAAATTAGAATTTTTGTCTTCCTTTCAAATGTCAATCTAATAAGATCCATCAGAACAAAGAGACAGGAAGATGTATCTGAAGGTGTTACCTTTTGTAAATTTAGTTAATTCAGTTGTACATACACATACATGCTATCTTCATATGCAAAACTTCCCTTTAGCGTCTCTTGCTCTCCTCCTCCTCCACCCTCGGTTTTTAATTTTTAATAATTAGCATTAATGAGCACACTCATCAGGAATGGTCCATGGTGTTCTCACCATTGTTTATAACGAACAAGAAATTTAATGTAATTTCAGCTCGCTTCGCTGTCATCTGTCTTGTTTACAGTTGTTTCCATTCTGCTGGGACTGCTTTCTTTAGAAGTCTCGTCTGCCTGTTCAGCGAGCTGTCCAGCTTTCTTTGACGAAGGTGCAACATTACCTTTTTGAAGAATTTCAGTAGCTTCATGCTCTAGTACCTCTGATGGAGTCAAAGGCTCCAAATGAATACTGCCTTGTTCGCTGATGTCTGAACTAACGGATTCCGGTTCATCTCGTCTTCTCAGGAACTGCTCAAAACTGACATCTTCACCCAAAGTCAGTTTTAAGTCCCTTGCATTCATTGCTGAAAGCGCAGTTTCATCCAAGCTATATACTTTAGTTTGCTCCTTCAAGGTAACATTATCTGGACTTCGGCAAGTTTTTGACTCGCTTTCATCATTAATACACTTTTGTTTCTCATCTACTAATTGTTTGTTATTATCCGAATCACAACATGCTTCTCTCTCATGCAAAGAATTCTTTGAGCTGTTGTCAGGGAGTTCCAAACCAGGAACTTTTCCCGTATTTGACGATGATGAGTTTTCTTCGTTCTTTTCAACTGATGCAACTTTTTTAGTTGGATTTCTATTGCATTCCTTTGTTTCCTCTGAAGAGTCATGCTCTTGTTTGCTGGGAAAAACAAAACAAGTTGTTTTTAGAACAAATTAAATAAAGCAACACGTGGCTGTACTCTGCAAAGTGACACTCAAAAGTGTTACTGTAGATTTCCTATTTGGTATTTCTCACAGATTTTTCATAGCAAGATGGGCTAAATTTAATTAACATCTGCCTTTTTCTTACCTATTTACAAACTCAGCTTTATATTCAGCAGTCAATTAGTACTCTCTAGTTCTTGCATCTCATCTCCAGAAGGGAAGGTTCTGTTCCCTTTGTGTGACACATGGGATTTTCCAAAATACAATGTTAAGTTCTCTTCAACACAGATGCAGATATAACTACTTGGAAACTTTTGCTGATGACGTGCAAGAAAAGAGAAGCCAGTTTGTACCTTTATACCATCAAACTGACTCTGCAATACTCATGAGAGTAAAGTGAGGCAAAAAGCTAAGAGCTGGAAATCTAAATTAACTTAAAATTTAGTTGAGCAACTACAAATTTGGATTCACGGCAAAAGTGAATCTGTGAAGTAGCATTTTCAGTCACTTTTCAGAGTAAAACTGTATGTTTGCACAAAAGGAAATACAGATCAGTACTGAATGATGCAAGTAAAAAATAAAATCTAAAACACAGCATATGAAGTTCATGGACAAACGGATTGTTTCAACCTGGTATTATTTCAGTAAAGCCACATGCATGCAGTGCTTTAGGGTGACCACGCCAGGGGGTGGTGGGGATGTGTGTGCAAATCAGAGAGACCGAGTATACTTCAGATGCCATCTGTACCCATAAAAATACTAAATAGCCTGGTCATATTACCATATGCAATTTGCTCACATGTTCATATTCCAAGAGACAAAATCCTAAACACTAGTTTCTAATATTTCTCTTAGTTTCTTATAGAAAACACCAGCGTCTCCCATCCTTTCAATGACAGAGCTCGATTTTTGCTGTAAAGGTTTAAATTTAGTAAAAGTTTAATATAATTTCTAACCCTTTCAAAAATTTTCTGAATGAGAAGCAGCTCAGATTACCTAAAATGATGATGGTGACAGACAAAATAAAGCAGGCAGGGAATGGAAGAGCAATAGTTAGTCTGATTTCAAATAAAAATTCTATATAGGAAGTGAAATTATGAGCAAATCAGTATCCTAAATTAACTTTTAAAATTTAAAAGTTAAACTGAAAATAGTCTCTAAACAGCAGCATGCAGACAAAAGAATTTGAATTTAAGTCAGAGGAATACTCTGAGCAGGGATAAGAGGCTACCAAGATATCCTTGAGTGGTGAAATCTTACTCGTCACAGATAAGAATCTTTTCATCCTGTGCCACCAGTTTTTCATTCATAATAAGGAATTAACTCAGAGACAGGCCAACCTCTGTACCCAATTACAACCCGTATTTGCTACTCGTGTCAAACGAAAGTGGGTGCTTTTTTAATTTATCGGACCATCTAAATCAGTAAATTGCATTCTCGAATATACAAACAGATGTTCTATCCAAGTTCTTCCCTCAAGCTGCTAGAAAAAAGGAGAAAAGGGGTAATATTTGAGGGGAAACTCAAGACTAAGTTCCAGCCCAAAAGTCAACACTCAGAACCACCCGTCAGCCGTGGCTGACATAACTGACTTTGCCACAACTGTTCCTAATTACCTCATCTAATCCAGAGAAACACTTAAGCTATACAGAGCTGTACAAATGCTAGTAAATATTTAGAATTGTTTTGATATGAAAATTCAGTCAACTCCATGAAACAGTGTAGAGATGTATGTGACCTTGAGCTACTACTTTTCAAAAAGCAGCTTGAGGGCCAGGTGTGGTTGCAGAGTTACACAAGTACAGTACAGCATTATGCTTTATGTGGGAAGTTCTGAATACAGATATGCAAAAACAGAAGAGAGGGTGTTTAAATAAAGGGATCCCTAAAGCCTCATTAGCACACACACAAGTGTTTCCACACCAGAAGTCCCAGATGGATTACATAGATGTACACACACACTTCACACCAAGAAACTCTGAATTCAAAGGACAGATTTGCCCTTAACAAATCAAATCAATCCATCACAAACTCCCTCAGCTTCCAGTAACCAAAATCCCAGCTTCATCCAAACCCAGCCTCTCATTCTCACTCACTTTTGGCAAAACACAGGAAAGAAAGGAGAAGAAGTGGGGAGTAAGAAAAGAAAAATATGTATGTATGCATTTCTCATGGATAAACACGCTGTCTCTCATCAGCATACCTTCCCATGAGTCATTTATACCAACAAGACAGTACAAAAAAACTGAACGAGTTTTGCACAACAATCACCGTCACAAAAACAAATATCCACAGAGAACAATGACCTTTTAGATTGCCAACCACAACAGTAAGTTCATTTAGACAGTTCTCCAATGAAGTAATTTACTTCTGCTGAGGACTGCAGATGAACAAACAAAACCGAACAGTTTGATGTGCTAAAATCCCACCATAAAAAAAAGTACTAGGATTTCATGAAATTCTGTTAGTAAGTCAGTAGCTGACAAAGAACAGCCTTCCATCTAATATTAGGAATGAAACATCCTCTTACTACTCCATGTGCAAGCGATACTGGTTACAGTGTAAAAAAATTCAGCCATCAAAAAGAACAGAAAATCAAGAATTATAACTGTATCATACAGAACAGAGGACTTCAGTGAACAGAATGTAAAATCTGACTTTCTTTAATGGAAGCAATCCACTTTCTAAAGCATGATAACAAACTGTGGCTAGACTATCAAATATGGACTATCCTAATGAACTAGCTGCCATATCGCCTACATGAAGTCAGGTTTTAGAATAAGGTTATTTCAAGGAAGTAGCATAAGACATAATTTTTAATTCAAGAGATGAGTCTACTAGGTGTAAGCACACTCATCCCAAGCAACAGAAACCCAGAAATGAAAGAGATTTTCTTATTTTTACTCATTTTAGAATGAAAGAAATAAATCATACGACTTCAGAACAGAACTATAACTGTCCTTTACATATCTGCATACCAGACAAGTTGCAAAGTGTGTGCAAACACCCCTCAATCTGTGGAAAAGTATTTCCAGGTAACAGAACTTGTATTACAGCTGCATTTACCTTAACAGTTTGGTGTGAACCACCACCATGGTTTTGAGGCACATCCTTGATTGTTCCCACATACTGGTTTGGTTTATAGAGCAGTCCTGGGATATGCAAACTAGATTTCTTTTTGAGGGAAATGAACTCTGATGCACAGATGCTCCAACACCCAACAGAGCTGGGTCCTCAAGAGTCCAAACTAACAAAGGATGTTCCACCCAGCTCTGAATACCTGCACGGTGTGGGCATTCTGCCCAGGGAACACAGGTGTGGTCTAAAATAACACCTTCCAATCATCTGCTTTGATCTGCTGTCCTGCTCCAGCAGCACTGCTTATCTGCTAATATCAACATAACCACCTTGGCTTAACAACAGAGGAAAGTGAGGACTGAGAATCCCTGATGCTAGAGAATCCAGATGCCTGTCTTCAAGCCCATAAAGGAGTATAAAATAAAGTTTACCAGAACAGATTTATATTTTAAAATTATTTTTGTCTACTTAAACACAAAGATAAGAGAAAGCAGTACATCATATTCTATTAGAGTTACAGTGACCGGTTACTAATCCATAAAGACATCTTAAACTTCTCATACCTGAACCATTTAATCTCAATTCTTAAGCAAGCATTTTAAGGGAAAGTAAAATTTAAAACTATCTGGCCCACACTACATATGCCTAGAATAAAAGCAGAACCTTCCGTAAGAAAAAAAGTAACCTACAGAAAGACTCTGAAAGCAGTTTCCCTTTTTTTTTAAAGGCACTACAAAAACATATATAACAAACAACTACAATTATGTTTTGACCAAGCTTTTAAAGGTTAAATTTGCACCAACAATTGCGAAAGATAATTAACGAAGAAATGAAAAGAAAATAAGACATTTCAGGCTGTGGTATCTGGAATAATGTTTAGATGAATTACATGAAATGCAAGTCTGCCCACAGACGCACAAAACGAAATCTTGAAGATTTCAATTATTTCCCCAGATTGACATAAAAAAATTCCACAAACTGGCACATTTTTAAGGGCTCAGCTGTAATCGTTAGTTACCCAACAATTTCACAGATTTGCTCTGCTAAGGATTTTGTTGAGTATGCTTTCCACGTGAGACACAGGTTTTTAAAAACCTAAATGAATAACCAAGAATCAATCTTTTATACTGTACTTTAAAACTGTTTACCAATTGTCCCAATAATACTGTTAACTCATATGCAGTATTATTAAAAAATGCTTCTTTTAACAATCTGTACAATTTAATGGTTTATGAATCCTGAATAATTTGCATTACTAGAAACGTGTTGACGCTTGGAATGTAAATTCTCCATGTCTTGTTGAGTAAGTAAATTACAACTGCCATTCCAAATTTTCTACCATAGAAAATAAACATTATGAAAATGGTAATGAAATACTTTTGTCCAATTACCTGAGAAATAACACAGCTTGTGTTATTTTATGTACCTGATTTCAAGATGAAGCTGATCACTGTATTTACCTTTCAAAAGCTGGTGTTTCTGTTTTTCCTTCAGATATACTAGGTCTTGAAATTTTCTGTAATAATTAATGATATTTCTTTATTTTACATTCACGAGCAACTGATTACAATATAAAGCTGCAGAAATAATTTTACACTGACATTCCCATAAATGTGCTATGTAGCAGAGACTGAGCATGGACCTTAGTACGTATGTTTGTAAATAGTCTTCTGAGTAAAAGAAACAACGCAAAATTTTAAAGCAACTCTTGTGGCCTTTTTCCTATACATAATTTCAATTATGTCTTATTGAATAGGATGCCAACTAAGTCTGGAAAGCTTTTTATTTGGAGAGGAAAAAAAAACTGAACTAAACTTGTGCTTTGCTAGGGAAAAAAAGAGCAAAAAAGCAAAGGAAAAGCAAGAAAGACAAAACTGAGATGCATTACACAGAGTTTTAGCCCTGCAGATACTATTACAGGAAGTGTAAGGAAGATTCTTAACAAAATGCTTGTCACAAATGAAACTTTTAACTCTCTATTAAAACTTGCCTAATGAAATAACGTTTTAACTGTAAGCAACAGTAATCAAAGACATTCTCCTCCCGCCAGCTTTAAAACCGTAGAAAAACAAGTGATGGAAATCTGCCATTTGGGAACAGCCACCGCAGTCTTCTAAAAGCATCTCCTCTGCTCCAGAGCACCTTGCCCATGTAACTTTATTCTCATTTAGGAAATTGTAAAGTGCCTAAGTGACAAGATTAAGAAATGAAACTTTTTTTCTGTCTGAATACAACTGTAAGTTCATTTTGTTTTTAAAAGTTCACCATACATAAAGATGAACATTTCAAATATTTATTTGTAACACAACCTCTGAAATATTTAAAATGGTGTTGTAAATACTGTTACATACTTTTAGCATACTATTCCCCACAACCCGAGGTGGTATATTTTGTTTCAGTGAGGACAAATTACGGAGCAAGTCTTTTAAAACTGTATGGTAAAGTTAAGCTTATTCTAACTTCTAAAATACCCTTCGCCATATTTCTATCTAATTTGCTGTATTTCTGTCATATAAAATCCATACACATATGACCCATGCTATAAAGCACTTTCCAACTTAAAATTACTGCACTCTACTTCCCACTACAGAACCTCCTTCCCTATCAACCATCTTCCTCTGCCCTTCCTGGCCATATTCCCCATGGGAACTACCAGAAAAGGAAGATTTCTCGACTTCTCTCTCCAAGTTTTAAATGCTTTGTTTTTAAACAACCTGATTCATCAGGTTGTATTTCTGGTTCTTCAGCACCCTAGGGGGTCTGTCCTTTAACCTGCTGTGTAATTCAACAGCCAAAATGTCAGGCATCAGGCTGCAGCGAAGTAACAGGCGCTCCACGGCACCTCAGAAAAAACACCCAGAGGTCCACATGGCCTAGACCACACTGGACAGCAGCTTACTGCTCTGAAAGGTCTTGGCTCAGATGTCCTGTGAGCTCAGACAGCTAACACCCAAGTAGCCTATTCTATCTGTGTTCTCCATCTTTTCCAACTGTAAGGCCTAAGGCACGTGGGTTGGTTTGGTTTTGTTTGTGTTTGGAGGCAACGTTGCATTTTAAGTTTTGTTTTTAATTGAAAGAAACTAATACGGAAAACAATTTTGTGGAGAAAAAAATGCAAATTCCACATCTTCTATAATGCTGAAACACAATGTGGGATATGTAACCAAACCCAACCAAACCAAGCAACACTAAGAGAAAACACACCTGAAGTAATAATCGAGTCTATGGAAAGAAAAGGTTATTGTGTATATTTGAGAACCTTGCTTAATGCTGTCAAAAGATGAACAACGTTCTGATGTTTCTACAAAGTCACTGCTTCTGTTAAAAAAGCTCACGCATCCCTTTGCACTCTGGAAAGTAGGCAAGCAGTGTTACAAGAAAATTCTTTACTAGGTCTGAGGACTTGCCCTACTCTCTAACCAGCTGAGATTTCTGTATCAGACTGCCCTTTTTGAAAGGCAACAGAAAGACAACTTCTCGCAGAAGAAAAGACTGTAAAATTCTAATCCAAAGGCAGTATTTTTGAAAAAAGTTAAGAAGATGTGCTGTGAGATAATTTAGCCTCCTGATAGGCAGAAAGCAGGAGAAAATTTGTACACGTGCCTAGAAAAACAAAAATCATGCCTGGAAAGGCATTTTCAAAGATTTTCCTCTTTGAACTACATATAATAAAAAAATTACAGTTCAGAGTCGATATTTACACCCAGACCTCAGGTTATATTTTAGGTCCATTTCCAGGCTCCCTGAAGATGAAGATACATAAGGCAACTAAACCATTCATTGGAGCCTGGCATACAAATCAACCAGAATGGACTGACTGCAAACTGAAAATCTTTGAGTGTGGCAGATGAACTAAAGGTGTCCCTCCAACACTGCCACAGTTTTCCATAGTAAAACACAGACAGTTAGGTTTTTGCACTGTGTATACCTTCTAAACACCATAATCCAGTAGTGTATGTATAGTTAAAGCAGAACTGTCTTGGATCTTCAGACTGGTTATGAAATTCACAGATGCTGTTAAGACTGTATGGAGAAAAGACAAGACATTACCTCCAACTTAGCTTCTCTCTCTGTAATGGAGACTTTGGTCTTTAACCTAGTGGATAATGAATTAAGATTCAATGCTTTAAAAGTACTGTATGGTTAAAATAGAGGTAAGGGTAAAGATACTTACAGTAAGAAAGCAACCTGGCAATTCAAAAACAAAATTTTAAGTTGATACTTATTTTGAGTTTAAATGTACTTCAGAGTTCCAGAAGAGCATTTCCGAATTTTAAGATGTTTTACTGGGTATACAGAAATCATAAGCTACGCTTGTTTCATGTAACCTGTTCCAGTTATCTCACCTCATGGAAACCAGGAGGGAACAGTCTTAAGACAGTTAACAATGCTTTTATTCTAGCACTGCAATACTACATGAGGAATAATTTCCTCACCATATAAGCCTTTTAAAGTATGACTGAAGTATTTAATATCTGCGATGATAAATTTGCTGAAATGCACTTCAGAAAGTGCATAAAGCTACATTCTGCAAAACCAGCTCAGTTTTCTTTTAATTGTCTCCTGTAACCCAAATACCCAGAACACAGCTGTAAGCTTACTTCAGGGCAACTGTAAAATATTGCAGCTGACCTCCAGCTACTATTTAGAGGAGATACCTCCTCAAAACACCTTTCACAGGCACAGTCCGTATATTAGATGAGCCATAAATTATTTAAATGTATTGACTTTTAAAACCACATTAATTAAACAGCTTATCACAACATCACTAAAATTGATTTTCTGTGTTTAGGTAGGAAAATGCTATCGCAGAGATAGCAAGAAGTACGTCTCCTACAAAACCTTGTTAAGTCATCAGTTCTAATATAAAAATCTAACCTTTCAAAGTTTTCCTATTAACAAAAAAAGACAAACTGAACAAAACCCTCAAAATTGCTTATGCCTGTAATATTCTTTGTTGATGCTGCACTAAAGGCACATTTAATCTGCTGATGTATGGTGCTGCCCCTGGTATATTTAAATAATGTTATTAATCATAAATTAAATGATTCATGACCTCAGCAAGTCTCAATGGCTGTCTACAAGGTACAAAATGCCTGACAGAAGCAGCAGCTTGATCAACTTTAAATTTTTTATGAAAAACATATCCCAACATTAGATTGATACCTACTGCATGTATTCTCCTAATTTAACCCAAGAAAGCAGTGCTAAAACCAGAGCTTTTACAGAATTTTAGCACATACTTTCAGCACACCATAAACACCTTCTACCACTCATGTTCTTGCAGGTACCCAACAACTTGGCCTGTAGCATAAACAATCCTTTTTAAGTATTTTAATTATGACATCTTAATTTGCAATGAAAGATGGCAAAAATAACTACAAAAATTGATTGTTTTAAAATAACATTGCTACGATAGCACTGTAACAATGCTCATCTAATAAACAGCAAGAAAAATGATCAGGGTAAATCAAGTGACAACACATTTTTTGGGTTGGGGAATTGAAACACTCTGAAGTACTGAATCATGAGTTGCAACACAAGTAAAAGATGATGTAACATCAAGTATTTAGCTTAGCTTCACTGCTTTAATGATTTCTATGCAAAAACTTAAAATAATATATTAGAAAGAGTAATTTGTCTAAGAACAGTCATTCTTGAAAGAGCAGAACAGTTTAGACACAAATGAACTGGATATTGTATAATCCAAGAACAAAACCTACTGCTCTTGTCTGAATAAGTGAAAGTTTTGCCACTAAAATAAATGGGTACAAATTGGATTCAATGTCTGTAGATTGTTTTAAATACATTATAACCATAATTTTACATCATCAAATTCTGATAGATTTTTGTGGTCATGTCTTATAGCTTATAAAACAGATTTGAACTGCATAGTTTAAGCTGTTTTGGAAGTGAACAGGGTTTATAATGTTTTGTGATGACTGCATCTTTGTTAGTATGGTTTACCGTGGATTCCTGACATACAATCTCAATCTTAATTTTGTTGAGGAATAGGTTTTAGGACATTCCTCCTAATTTTTCATCAGCAGAATTTTGATAAATGGATACTAAACCATAGATGACGATGACCTTGTGATGTGCCCGAGACTCTGAAGAAATCTTAAATCATGTAATTCTCAAACAGCAACAAAGGCAATGTATTTTCTTATATCTGTAGAGTTACAGTGCTTCTGCAAACAACATCATGAAAAGAAAACAAAATCGCAACCATCTCCAGTACGTACAGCCTGCTGGTCCATAGTTTTGAGAGATTCTCAAATCTCTCTCAAACTCTCCAAAGATTCTTTATTCTACATAAAAATAAATTCACAGTTTGAACAATGAAAAAATGCTCCTTAATTGTCAGGCTCTTCAAAGAAGTGCCCCCAAAATGTAGCGGCTGAGCCCAAACTTTCAGCTTGATTGAGATACTCAACAGAACAGATTGTCCATAAAATCTAAGAGGCTCAGAATAAAAGCCATGTAGGTAAGATCATCAATTTAGACACCTTATAGTGTAGGTTTAGGTTGATCTGAAGCTTTGTTTGATACATGAGGAGTCACCCAGGACTAGCAGAAGAGATCTGGAGTCAGTGAAACAAGTAGACTCAAACACACAGTCCAAGAACAGACAGGAGTATTCTCATTTCTGAAATTCATAGTCTCATTGCTTCCCCTGCTCTTACACAATAAAATCATGTGTATTTGCACGCACACAGAGCTCAAATCATGAGCAACTCTCTTTCCAGCAATCTGTCATACTTGCTTACAACCAAAGAGTTACTCCCACAGCTTCTTTAAGTAACTAGTGGTGAAACTCAGCTGGAATCTTTTGTCCTCCCTTAATCAAAACTAGCTTTTCTAGGATGACTGTAGCTTCAAGAATTTCTACAAAACAACTTTGTGCTATTTAAGTGGCTCAAGGTACCTTCAAGCCACTCAATCATACACAGCATTATAAATAAAAATCTATTTTACAACCAAAAGAATTGAAAACTCTGTGTTTGATGTGTTTTGGGTTTGTTTCGTTTTAGTTTGGTTTTGTTTTTTTTAAAGATCTCCAGTTTTTAGCAGAAATTCCCCATTCAGAAAAACAGAACTCCAAGAACCACCAATGATTCATAAAGCACAATTCTTCCCCTAATATCTGATTGTATGAGATTTACTGAGAATGTGTATCTGAATGGACAGTTGGAGAGAAGGAAAAGCTGCTGTTCATGGGAAAGGAAAGATGATGGCATTCATGTTACTTGGCACTGTATCCAGTTTCTCACCTGTAAAATGGGGTTAGCAATGAAGACAGATACATCATAACCGTTATTATCATTAACAGTGAAGTGTTATTATGCACAAAGCTGGAGTCACAAACTTCTAACAGAATAATAGAAACAAACTTTGACTTTCTTCTCAGAAAGACCTTCAAAACAAAGGTAATACAGAATTTGCTAATCAAGTAAGGTTGCCCTGCAACTACATGTATTTTAAGAGCCCATGATGCAGTGACATTCAGTGTCCTAAAAACAATAACATGAGACAGGTTAAGGTACAAATAAATGACATCTTAATTCTTTGTCCATCAGCTAATTTGGTTATACCATACATATTCATGCTCTGTCCTTGCAGATGTGGTCCAATGCATTGCATTACTCATGTAACTTGGTAGTTGTTGGAACAATTAAGGATATTTAACATTGAGTCAGGAAGGTTTACTTGCCTGGCTTAGTACTGCTTAGGTCATGAGTTTTTCACATCAGTAACTTTTCCAAGATTCTCATACAAATGGAAACAGGATGCCACAATGGCAATTGTTTCTATATGAACTATTTACACAGAGCTGGTAAATCTGAACGTAGCTTACAAGTGTTTTAACTACATGTCTGAAACTTAAAAAAAATCTGTAGCAAAGCTGTAAAAGAGCCAAATTATAACATTCCAAATGAGCATTCAAGAGAGGTATAATTCACAAAACTTCAAATCAAAGCAGCAATCTAGTGTAATTTCTGGGAATTTTAGAGAACATTTCTGAAAGCCACAAAAACCTGCAATCATACTCCAGTTTTGTTGTTGCCAGAAATCCGAATGAAAGTGAAATACCAGATTCAACTTCCTCTGAAATGCAACAGCACGTTCACAATGAAAACACAAACCCACTATGCTTTTTTTGAATGCTGCTGTGTCAAAACAGAAATAAGTCCTGCAAGAAAAATCTGTAGTAGGTAAGTGATGCTTGACGTTGAACAGCAGCATTCAAGATGGAACATAGCTTCTGTCAGAAGAAAAAAAAAGTAGCAAAAAGAACAACAAGACTTTAGACTACTGAGTAAGCGTGCAGATGCTCAATCACAAAATATGCATAAGAGACAATGGATGATAAGATCCTTGCTATTATTACCAATACCACAGTGGTTTCAGAAGCTCACTATCACAAAAACTGTTACTGCTTGAATAGTAAAAGTGAAGAGGACAAACACACTGGTAAAAATGGATTAATACGGGAGAATTTGATTATGCAGAAAAAGAAAGTGCTGCAAATCAAGAACAGCTTGCCTCCATCAGAAATAATCTCATATAACTAGGAGCTTACAACAGTGACTGATCTCAGAGTAAAATTACCTCTATCTATTAGGTTGCTTGGAAGCGAGGGAAGTAGAGATTCAACCAAGACTCATGTCCACTGTAAGCAGGAGGTTGAGTTTGGAGGAACACTAGATGTTCATCATGACAAAAGGAAAGCTCATCATATATCCAGACAATCTGTTGATGGATAAACTTGCCATAGATAATCTAGAACTAAAGATGAAGTCACAAGCAGTGAAATCAAAAGCAGCAGGTGTCTCAGCAGCTTGAGTAGTGCATCCTTGAAGATGAGAGATGACAGCAAAAGAACAAGGTGTGAATGAACTGTGGCTGCTCCACCCTTGGAATCAAGGCTCAATAAATGGATCTGCTTCCATCACATCCTTTTCTCCTACAGTATTTAGGAGCAAAAAGAAGCTTAGCTACCAGAGCAAAGCAACTAATAAATTCCTTTGGCCAAGATTCAGTTTATGCAGTTACATGCGACAGAAGGCATTCAAAGCATATTTTGCCACTATATACTGTAAAATCATTGGCAGACAATAATGCAACTTATTTGAATATTAAATAGATCAGGACTTGTATGTTTTAGCGAACACTCAAAGAGAATGACAAAGCCCTTTAGTTTCAGATGCTAGGATCAAGTTCAGAACACAATGGGCTTTGATGTCATTACATGTATGTCATCATTTATACACTACTCTAGCTTGGGATGATATCGATAGACTTGAGCAGCAAAGAAACACTGCAAACGAGCAGCAAAGAAACACTGCATCATGTAAGTGAAACTCCTGGTATGCCTCTCTTCAAAGGACTATAGCCCCCAGAAAGCTGCAAGTCAATGCTGCAAAGCAGAGAACATTACCACAGAAAGGCCTTTGTCAGACTACAATACTGGGAGAGAAGACCAGACCTGCTGCCTAAAAGATGCAAGAAGAGAGAATACCACAGCTTCAATGTATGAAGAAAAAAGGAAAATGTCTGGTCAGATCCTTGTTCACTTACATACCAAAATAATCCCAAGCTGGACTGGGTTCAATTTTCTGGTCCACAATGATGTATCAGTGAGCCAAGGCAGTATAGGATACCTGCTCACTTTCAACTCCCCTGCAACAAAAATGTCTGCTGTCAGTTCATTTAAAAATATGATAATTGTTGCGCAAAGCAGAGAGTTGAGCACAGAAGAGTACTAGCATAGTTATTAAGTCTTACTTCCTCAGCACAAGGTGGTTCTCTAAACAAACAAAGCAACTTTATGTCAAGTAACAATTTAAAAAGCAATTCCTATCCAGCTAGGTTATCTGTATTACTAATGGCAGGATTCTGGTCCAGTCTCTCTCATCAACACTACACAGAGCTCATAGAACATGTCTGGTCAACAGCAATAAAGATGCATTTTACAACACATACAGACAGTCTGATATATAAAAGATACCAAAAGATACCATTCGAGAGATGCAAGAGAAGATCTGAAAGCATTCAAGGCTGTAACTGCGAGTCACTGTTTCTGATGATGAAGTGATCCTGAAGAGCCCCATAAACAAGTCATACCTCACTGAATTAGAGGTCGAAGAACGGGAAGAAACATTCACAGATCATCGAGAAACTACCCAGCAAGAGTTACAAATACTAACTGCAAGTTCCTCTTCTTCCAAAGCAAAACACTGTGTGCCAAAGATGAAAACTTTTGTGGGTACTCTGCACTGCAAATAATGAATTTAAAAAATCTGCTACACCAGTATATTCATGCTCTTAGGTTTAGCAATTATGTTCTTGTCCAAAGTATCACAGAACTAGTATATGGAACAGGACAAGATTTACTGCAATTAATGAAGTCTATGAGCATGACAGTTTCACAAAACACCATCACAGATTATATCACCTCATGCAGTACCAATAACTAACCTTAAGCCAACATCAGAGCTCTCAAAAATAATCCTAATCTAACAGACTGCGGAAACAAACCTGCACATATTCTTGATGCTACTTCAAATCTTTTCAGTGCTCACCCATCCGTTTCTGAGTAATACAGACTTTGTATATCCAACATTAGTAAATATTTTCCTAAGACATCCTTGTAATATGTTGAAGACAACAAGATCCTTGTGGAGTACTGACAACAGCCTGCTACAACTGGACCTCTTTCCTCACCGTTCAATACATCTGTAACCTTTCCTTACAGATAGCTCAGCAAGTATTAATTCCCAACACCTAATGCCAGCTCCAAGCAGAAAAGGTAAGGTTGTGTCACAGCTCAACGCTTTCTTTGTCCATTGTTTAAGTTTCAATTAAATCTAAACTGTTAAAGGACAGAAGCTACCCTGGGCTGATGAAGGGAGTATAGCTTACCCTCCTACATGACTCTTTCCAGTGTTTTGTCCAATTTCAATACTCTGTGCTCCAAAAATCAGAAACTGCATTTTTCAAATGGCTTTTTAAAAAGCTTTCCCAAATTAAACTTCATTCCTGTTCATTCCTGCCAGAGTATCTTCAGTTCTTCTTAATAATGTCTATTAGTCATCCCCTCAGACCACCAGCTTTATTCAACTGCACCACATGCTAAACAGTTACTAGTAGAACTTTATAGCATATATTCTGCTCTATTATTACTCATAGCCAAAGCTAAGCATTTCCATGTTTGGATCAGATGACAAATTATTCCAGTATCCCTTCTCCTACTGGCCACTTTACAGAAACTAAGACAGACAATAGTTATGAAATAACCTATTTGGGATATGTCCAACAAGCAGTGAAGGCTGATCTATGCTTAGAGGCCTAAGAATATTTTGCACTGTAGCAAGAGTAATGGAATCTCTTTTAGAATCCTGCTATAAGCTAAATGGACTCAATGACATCTTGTTGTTAAATTAGGGTTAAATTATTTTCTTCCATCTTTTAAAATATCTTTCTTCACAGTCCAACTGGCATTTTTGTTCCTGTGTTCTGAAATGGTTTAGAGGCAACTTAAAATATCTGATTCAACTGCCATACCTCTGTGAAACACACTTCATGACTTCAATTAAGTCATAAGTAAGCTCACAGGCTACAGTGTAAAGCCTCAGGTACTGTTCCAGGATAACAGGGGATGGCTTGGCACATCTGATTCTTTTAAGGTTAAAAGAAACCCCAAGCAAATCAACAATCTCACCAATACTACAGGTTCTTTTTCCAATCCTCATATTAATTTTTCTTTGAAAGTCAGAATTAAAGTTAATACAAAATAGTATACTTTTTGTCATATAATTAACATAATTCTGAAAATATTTTGTAAATATTTATAAAAGATTAATACTGAATTTGTCCTACTTTAATAAAGGTCACTTTAAAAAAATCATATTAATATAACACCAAGAACATAAACCACTCATTCAATAGAGCTAGTAATAAAAGCAAGTTGAAGTTAACAGTCTTACTACATCTAGACTTAAAAGTCAGGATGGAGAAGTTTTAACACAACAAGAATGATTTGTGTCTCTTGGGCCAAATTGAACAAAAACCAGCTTTTGACCTTGCCTGCAGTAAGTAATCATAGTAAAGTAAGCGTCTACGTTCATCCATACAGTTCAAATTCTATGAAACTCAAAAGAAAGCCAAGTTCAAAGTGCAAATTTTGGCTGCCACTAAACTAATAGAAATAAACATTGAGCAGTAAAACAAAACTTACTCAGATACTTGTTCAGCAGTTGGGATATCTACAGAAACTGAAAATAAAAATAAAGGATTTAATTAAAAATATTTTAAAATGTGCAAACACAGAAGTACTCACTTTCAAATCCAAGCACACAGAAATAATGATAATGCAACTGAAAAAAGGACTGCAATGACACAGACACATCCACACACAAGTATTTATGGATGCAGACCATATTAAAAAACCACTGTATGTACTCACCTTTCTCTATAATAACTTGACAAGTATGAGTGTCGCTTTCACTCAGGTGCGAAGCCATGCTATCTAAGCCAGAAACATCAGTCAGGAAATCACAGTTAAGACAGACTACAGTCACACCTCTACAGAAGAGAAAGTAAAAAGGAAGTATAAATACAACACGGTTGGGAAAAAAGTTTTAATGTACAGCAACTGGACAGGCTATAAAACAATAAATACAATTTTCCTGCAACTTTATGAAATGATTCACAAAAACATTCTTACTCCAGAGCATCTCCGTGCTGGACGTAGCGCAAAGAACACCATTTTAGACAGAAATTTATCTGTAAAGCATGAGTTTCTCTGCTTTGATCATGGTGGGGGGTTTTTTGTTTGTTTTTAGTTTTTTTTCCCCTTTCTCCTTTCCCCTGCCCGCCCCCAGTTTTGCACATTATGAAAACAGAGAAATAGAAATATGTTTAAAAACTGTTAAGAGCTTAAAAATAAATTAACAGTGCAAGAGCTAATCTTTTTATTCCCCTGCTCTTTCTAAATTATGTAAGCCTAGAAACTCAAGAGGTTCCAACCTCATTTAATTAATCAGTTCACTATCAAAGTAAAAACATAATTATCTGTAACTGAAGAAAGCTGAATTACCGTAGCTCTTCTGAATGCTTCTTATAGATCCAAAACCTTTTACTTGGACGAGCACTGTGAAAACTAAATATAAGAAAATATTACCACTTGGACTGGTTTTCTTGAATATGTTACTCCACGCATCACCTATGCTGTATATGGCATTGCAGTTTGCTTACGACAAGGCATGAAAACAGAAGGCTCAATTACTGACCTGCATTATTCTGAAACATTAAATTGCTTAAAACTTAGAGGCTTGTGAATCTCAGCTCTAGTTTAAAACACTGGCTACCTTGTAAATTAGTTTGGGAGGGGCAAGGCTAAACTTTTGTCGGCACGGTCCTGCAAGAACATAGTTACACTGCTTCCACCAGCATCCATCAGCAGTTCCGCTCTTGAAGCACCATGGCTGTAGCAATACAGTGCTCCACAAAAGAAGTGTTTTGTTGAACTCAGGTTTCCTAAAGAGATGGCTTTAAATGAGATAAATCACATTTTCAGACAACTCGTAAGTTCTCTTATATGCAGGTCAAGTATGTGTCAACACTGTACTCCCATATGAAACAAAAAGCAAACACAGCGGCTGCTACTGCAGAAACACTCTCCCCTCCAACAGCCTACCTCCTTACCATCCCTACTTCCTTATACTCATCAAAAAAGGTGCTGATAGGTGCTGCAAGGGGTCAAAGTAGGAGCACCAAGGGGACAAAGGACAGAAGACTGGCTATTTTATCACATTGTTGAATTTGACACAACACCCAGAACATGGACAACAGTAAGAACATTTTACCTTAGATTCTCCCCTTCTGGGGCAAACTTTCTCTTATACAACCAGAAATAAACACATTCATTTGTATTATTTTTAAGCACACAACCAACAGGTTAAATACATAAAAGCATGTAAACTATTTCAGCCTAGGACTTACATTAGCATTGAAATTAATACAAATAGGTCAACATATAAAATATGCACAAAAACTTTTAAAGACTCAGGTAATGAATTCAAGGATTCTAGCATTCAAAGATGCCAAGGTATTTTCTACATACACATATTTAAAAAGACAACTGCATTCTGTATTCTTCCCCCCAATACATTTGGCTTATTCGGGACACAAGATGAACAAGCAGGTTTTCAAAATTTTGTTTTAACTTCACTGCTATGTAATCTGTGTCTAATTATTGCATAGTATGATTCTATTGCTCTGGAAACTACTGCATTTGTCTTCCTAACAGGCTTTTTTACAGCTGTCATCCTTAATACCCTACACTGGCTCACAATCAGTGACAACCTTCCTACAAAATTAGATGTTTTTTTTATGGATGACCAGAAGTATTATAAGAACAAGTATCCACTTGAGTATGGTATTTGAGACATCCTTTGCATGGTATTCTGAGCACAGATTTCATTAGCAATAGCTGTGGCTGTATGCACTCAGCACTTCTAAAATCAAATGAGGTATTCAATGTGAAACCCAGAGAACATGCAACAATTAGTCATGATTTGTTAAATCTGGCTGAAATCACTATGGAAGATCCCACAGCAGCTCTGAAGTAAAGACAGAAAACCACCTGAACCATCAGATTGCTAAGGCAAAACAAGAGCGTGGGATTTAGGCCCCCATTACAAAGTAAAAATCCAGCCTTACACATTTCCTCGCCACCCCTATGACCCAGTTCAAAATTCAGTTACTAGAAACACTTAACACACCTTACATGAATTTAGGCAGCATTTGATAACCCAGTAAAAATTGTGACCAGTTCTTACCTCATCATGTGATTCACATAGGCTTTGCTACAGCTGGTGTTGTATCTGCATAAGCTACAGTGGACATAAGCAGGAAAATGGCTTGCAAAATCTTTTATTTCTGAGTAACACTCAATGCATTTGTGAGCTCCCAAACGACACCTAGCAGTAATATGAAAAAGTGATTAGTTAATATCAACACTTTAAGACAAGCTAACTAATTCAAACTTTTTGCTTTAAGTCAGTAGCAAGCTTGCCTACGTTAGGGAAAAAATAAGGAACTTAAAAATCTATCAGTTAAACACTTCTTACAGGTTACGTTAGCACACATGAAGAAAACTGTGTTTACTCTTGAATTGTACTGTCATTAAGACCGCAATAAGGTCATAAAGGGAGAGTTAATGTAAGCATCTGTTATTGGCCACTCATAGAAACAAGATACTGCAGTAGATAAGAACCTCCAACTTCAGCTGCTGCTGTTGTCTTTATGTACTTGAGAAGAATTTCAAAGAAATGCTTCAGCTACCACAATGCACAGAAAAAGCCCTTGCTTCTCCTGTTATCCCCGATATTCCCCACAAGCTTTGAAATATCTACAAAGCAAGAATGTAATCCTGCTCTCTCCCATTTTTGTTGGCTGTTTTTGGATGTCTCAGAGCTACACACTGAGTGTTAGCACCATATTGTAAGGAAGACATCTACAATCTTTCACAAAGAAAATTGCTAACACATTTTAGCCAATGAAATTATATTCTAGTCCATAAAACACAGAATTATTAACGTAAGGATAGCAATATCCATTGAACTGTAAATACTAAGACAGCATTCTCCCAACAGCTTGCTTTTACTTCCTTGTTTGGTGTTTTTTGTTGCTGGTTTTTGTGTGTGTGTGGTTTTTTGATCGTTTATTTGTTGTTTTGTTTGTTAGGGGTTTTGTTTTGTTTGTTGGGGTTTTTTTTTGGTAGCTCCCCAATTAAGGTGTCTCCTAGGTCACACAAGATGTAACCTTTTAAATAATGGGATCGCATAAAAAAACATTTTAAAAAAGTAAGAGCAAAATACCTTTCTCCTCTATAAAAAAACCCACAAAACTTGCAAATACACAGGCAGATGTACCTCCACAGGTCACTTTTAAACATGTATCTGCCTAATAAGTCCGTACTTTAAGAGCCTGTAGCTCTGCACAAAGAAAAATATCTTAATTTAGAAAAGTTTTCAGAACATCTGTTCTTCCATCGTAAAGGACTCCACCACCAACAAAATCGTTGAAAGAAGATTCAGAATTATAATCACAGTAGCAGTATGTGAAAAGTTTGTGCCAGCTTGTTCTGCAAAACTGAAGTGTCAAATCTTCTGTACTGCAGTATTAGAAATTACTGACAGATAATTACATGATCAGTTATTCCTATTCAAAGTATACAAAAGATATTTTTAATGCTAATATTTTACCTTAGATTATGCAATGCTGTATTTGTAATCTCTTTTTTTTTTTTGCTGTTAGTCCATGCATTTTGCTTCTTCGATGTAGTTGCTTTTGATTTTGCTCTTGACTTATTTGTATTAGATTTGTTATGATTTTTAGTGGTTGCATTTTTAGCTTTGGGTGATAACTGAAACGTGGAGGTGCTTGTACTAACAGAAGATGTAGCGGATGATCCCGATAGAAGAGATCCAAAAGACGCTCGAATAGTCACCTGTAAGTACAACATCAATTTTTTTTCTGTTTAGATTTAAGCTTTATAACTTCCCATTTCTATTTGTCTCAAAGTTTAAGCCACTTTATGACAAAAACCATAGCATAAAAAATATCAAATGATGTTGACTAAACAACCTCAATAGTCTACTGGATGCTTCAAAAGCTCTTATTTTGGTGGAAACAGCCATGACAAAACACACTGCTCTCTTTTCAGACCTGCAACTGGCTACATCCTGCTTTCTTAAAACAAAAAAATGTATCTGGGGAAAAGAAACAGAAGGGTCAGGCCAATCAGCCATAATAAGATGGTCAAACAATCCCATCAGTGCCTGGATTTCACAAAAGCCCTGTGTCTTGTTGCCATCAGATATTTTTGCACCTTAGACCCCCAAGGACTAATTCTGGTTTCTGATCTCTCATCTAGCATTATTGCACTCCTTTGTTTTGCCCTTAAATTCTCCAGGGTCAAGGTCTACCTTGACAGCACCAAAATTTTAACATAATCGAAACTTTTATTAGATCATGAAGATCCTGAAATTTTTAGAAAATTGAGGTATTGTCACAGAATAAAGAAAAACTGCTTTACGTTGTGCCAAGCAACACAATGAACATCAACTTCAGTCATTTCCCCTTCCTGATTCTACAGCAAATGAACAGTGAAGAGCAGATCAAAATATTTTCTTCTTCCTTTTAACTGAAAGAACATGTATCTTCACATTTCATTAAAAATCTAGGAAAAACTCAAGAAATCTACAGGAAAATCCTAGTCTAAGTGGATCTTTCTTGAGAAATGGAAGAATTATTTAGATTTAAAAGACAGTGTTCTGAGGAGACCTAAGTTTACTTCATAAAACACTTAGCAGAAAGTTGTGGGGAGTTTTTTCCCCTTCAAATGCTGACGCTAAAGAAGATGTGGTGAACTGGGTTTTAGCACATACTGTCTATGGAGAAGTAGGTCTTGCACTCTGTATTGTTTTTTTGCCACCTGTTTCCACAGGTTGAAAATTTTTCAGAAGAAACGATACAGACCCCTCAGACCAACATCCAGATTTATCTCCTTTTCTCCTAGCACAAGGAAGGATAAATGGGAGGTGGCAAATGAACCAACAGTTCAAGAAAGCAGCAGCTGAACTGGACTACTGGCCTAAAAACGGGACAGAGAGCAACAGGATCGCCAGGAAGAAACCATAAACTGTGCCTGGCAATCCTGCAACAGGAGTATTTTAGAGTTTTAGTTTTAGAGGTGGGAAATAAAAAAGTCAATCTTTGCTTTGGAAAGCAAAGGAGAAAAGTACTTATTTCTATTCCATCCCTTTCTCTACCAGTACATTTTTTTCTTTTGTCTCCCCTAATTTTCCTGTATAAACACTAACCTTTGTTCCAGGAGGCAATCCTTCTAACTGTTTGGGTTTCCTAAATGTTCGGTGATGCTGAGTCTTGTGATCCATTTTTTCTTTGCACGTCAAAAACTGCAGTCTGCACTTAGTGCAACGGTATATTCCTTTTTTCTTTTAAAAATGAAAGACAATCTATAGTAAGCATGAATGTTATGATAAACAAAATTCCAACCCTAGCTTATCTCAAGCAACGGTCATCTGATGTCTAAAACATCAACCAGACAAACTAATATTTGTAAAGCAAAGATGCTGTGTAGGAATTGAAAAGAAAATATTTAAATAGTTGAAAATGCAAGGCAGTGTCATTACTAAGAGAAGGACGGAGCAGGTTACCAATCACAAGACGACACACTACTTCACAATCTTTTTCTCTACTTGAACGAGTGAAAGGTTTCCTAGTAACCTCAAGAAAAGCAGAACACATCACTACAACTTAACGAAGAAACCAAATAGCAGAGATAATTCTTCCAAGGATATTCAGATTTTTTTTTTAAAGAAGGTGCTGCTGTCACACAAAAACATGACAGCCTAACAATTCCCTCAAAGACTTTAAAAAGAAGCAGTTGTAATTCTTCTACCATATTCTATTAATTATTCTTACAGAGTAAAAACCATACAAATCAGCTACTCTTTCTTCAGTGAGAGATTCATGACATGTACCTAGCATTTTTCTAGCATTAAGGATTGAAAATATCAGAAATATCAGCTTACCTGATGCCTCATGTAATGATGCATATATGGTGCCCCAATCTTAATTACTTTGAGGCAAAATGGGCATAGCAGATGTTTTGTATTTTCATGAACCGTTCTAAAATGTGTTTCTACATCTGAAAAAGCTGAGGATCTGTAGTTGCATACCTGAAACAAAAAGTTTTACTTTCTTGTTAAAAGTTATTGATAGTAATGATGGGGAGTGTAATATAAGTACAAAACAGTCACTCTGAAATACCTGGCAAACATACGGCATTTCACCTGGCTTATGATTGTCCTTCATATGTTGCAAAAGAACTTGCTCCGTTTCAAAGGATAATTCACAGATTTTACAAATCGCTAGAAAAAGTGAGAAACAAAA